TGTGTGTGTGTGTGTGTGTGTGTGTGTGTGTGTGTGTGTGTGTGACCCATCACATAGAAATGAGGATTCAGTACAAAAGTGGAAATATAGGCACATATAGGGATTTGATTTAAACGTGTGTAAAAATTGCATTTTGTCAAAATATAATGAATAAATGTCATATCAATGTATCATTTGAATGAACTGTCTGAAATATAATCCTAAAAATACATTTTTGAAGCATTGTTTTAGCAGTAGCAACAAAAAATGATTTTGAGGAAAAATTACTTAAAATTTTGAATTTTTCCTATGAGCTAGCAATGTTTTTGTTTCTTTCCAACTGAGAAATCTTAATATACAAATACCAATTCCTCTTTATATTAACAACAAAAATTATTCAATAAATTTACAGAGAGGATTCAGACCAAACAGTAATGTACAGTATTATCATACCCAACAAGACCAATGAAGTCATAACTCTGGATCCACTTATAATTTCAGGATGATCCATCAAAATGTAGCTTTTAAAGCAGGAATCTGAAAATGCAGTTACGATTATTTTAGTTGTGCTAACAGCTTCCTCAGTACAATAAAGCGCAAGGGTGACCCATCCAAGATGGCGGCATGCTGTGCGCAGCTGTTGACCCGGAAGTGTAATGCGAAGTTGGCTCCAGGCGGAGCGTCGTTCTTCGGGGGCCATCTTGCCACAGTTAGCGGTTAGCAGCTGTGTAAAGGTGAGTGATTTACACCGACAAACATAGCTCAACTCGCTGAAATCTTGACGGATTTACAAACGGSTTGGTTTGTTTTAATCGTTATTAACGTGACCAGGATTTGGGATGATTAAACTTGTTGACTTGGCAGTTTTTCTTTTGTTTATATATTTATTCGTGCGGCATATTTGTGCGAGTCGCTGCTACTTGCGAAAGTTATCAAGGCGGATCGAGAATTTCAGTTCTCATAAGCTAGTTTTGTTTTCTGAGACCAATAACAATTTTATGACAAATAATCTATTGTCGAAATGACAATTTTACATCATTGGAACATTTTTTTAATTCATCTGAATCGACACATGATTTCCAAGCGTGTTTATTTGAAACTAATTGCTGCCTTGTGTTAACAGTGCAGAACTGCACCACAACATGCCTGACTTTTGTGCAGCTTACAGATGTTCCAACAGCCGCAGCATCAAAACAAGAAGCCGTGGGATCACCTTTCACCTGTAAGCTCTGTGACAGTATTACTTTATAATCAGTAGTTCTACTGTGGATCTATGCACAGTACAGGTCATATTACTCAGTATTATTACTGTCCTCAGGATAATCAGTAGTTATATTGTAGGTCTATGCACAGTACAGGTCATGTTTCACAGGAACAGTTGGATTATATTCATATAATCCAACTGTTCCTGTGTAACATTCCACACAAATTGTAAAAACAAATTGTAAAAACTTGTAAAAGTGTTTTTACAATGTCTTGCTAAAATATCATTCATTGTTTATTTTTGGACACCATTTTTTATAACTCTTAGCATGTCAAAAGTAAATACATGCACACCAAAGGTGTAAATGTTCAGGTGTGTACTTTGTCCCTAAGCTTAATGTTAAAGGCAAACAGGGTGGAAAATGATGACTTCTGTATGTTTTCAAGGTTTCCCAAAAACAGAGAGAGGAGGCAGCAGTGGGAAGCTGCTGTGAGGAGGGAGGGTTTTGTTGCCTCTGAAAGGACACTTCTCTGCAGCGAACACTTCAGACCTGAGGACTTTGACAGGACGGGGCAGACGGTCCGGCTGAGAGACGGTGTTGTGCCGACACTTTTCAGTTCTCCAGCTCATCTTCAAACGGTATGTGTAGCACTGAGACAAGAGCTCAAGCTGGGTCATTGTATATAAGTACATGATTAAATGTCACACTTCAGTAGTTGTTTCTGCAGGTTTAGGAATAATTGATGTTTTGTTTATCGCAGCATGTTTAAACATTCTTTTTACGTGTGTTTATTTTAGCTGGAAGCATCCAGAAACACAAGCTGTTCCACAGACGAGCTGCCGCTGGACTTGTCTAAGAAAAGACCTGAGTCTGATGTGAGTATAAATTGATTTAGGCTCACAATTGATAAGTAATTGTTTACTAGATTCCACATTACTATTGTGTATATATTTGTAGATTTTGCCAAAGCATCAGGACGCCGCTGAAGTGCAGTCCACTGACCACTCGTACGCACTGCCTACTAGTCCTGAAGCTTTGTACGCCAAACTGAAAGAAGCCACAGACAGAGTGAGGAAACTGGAGCGGGAGAAGTCCATCGCCTTGGCAAGAGAAAGGAGGGCCAGGAAAAACTGCTTAATATTTGTAATACGAGAGGATTGCCACACAGATATGCATGATGTCATCAATAAAACAAATCCGTAGTTTTATTTACTCACATTTGTTGGGTGGTTATTATTAGAAATGAATAGTTGCAACAATGTTTCCATCACTAACAAGATCACAGGTAAATCCTGCTCTGTTTAGTCCTGGTTTTCAGTCTGGTAAAACGGCATCCATCCAAAAAACTGCAGGTTCTGGTAAGTTTTAGACCACCTATGCCAAATTATGAGCATTTATTTTTGTCTAAACTGCCAACAGATGTTATATATTTTTTTCAATTTGTTAGCATTTCAGTTTGTACACGCTTAAAAAGAGGGTTTCTGGTTTTTTTTATTCCATCTTTAACGTAGATGTCTTTAAAATTTTTATAAGTTGGCATAAGTTGTGTAAAACATCGCTGTGTGACAGAGCCTTCACTTCTGAGTTTTATGACTACGACAGCGCGTTCGGGTCATTCTGCAGGTGGAAAAAAAGGAGGAGCAAATCTCTACCAAATAGGGCTGCCACGATTAATCGACGACTAATCGATTATTAAAATAATCGATGACTAATTTAATAATCGATTAATCATTTTCCTTTTTTTGTTCATTTTTCTCTCCAAACTGCTTTGACACCTTCCACTGCCACATCTCCCTTTCTGTCTTTGA